TATTTTCTAGAGTGGCAATAAAGAGATTTGCAACTGCATAGTGGTTCAAACCTGCCACACTTTTTAGTAAGAATTTACATATCACTAAATGGGCTCAGGTAAGATAGAGAAGCAGTCTCTTTTTCTCTCTAACCCACCTCTTTCCCTCTCTTTCTTTCTTTGTCTTTCCCAAGGCCTGCCCTGGCTGTGCATCCCTCAAACTGTCTATCATGCTTGAGTTGATGTCTTACTTTCGCTTATTTTACAAATTGTGGTGAATTATAGATGTCTCTTCAAAACACATTGGTCCTCTCATGGTTTCTCTGACTTGTAATGGAGGAGCAACCTGCTTGGTTTTACTGCTCTTGTTCTCATGTTCTTTCTCTATTTATCATAGAATGGATTTTAAATTGCATCATATGTAGTTTTACGGAAACTATTTGGAAATCCTTCAGTGTCAAGAGATACAGAAGTGGCTTGAACAAATAAAGGAATTAATAAATGTAGGACCTGTACCTTCATCTAAAATTAGATTTCTGGCTGGCATGCATTGAAAAAATTAAATATTGTCTCTACAATATAACTGAGAGTTATATTATACCTGTTAGAAAGTAGGGAAATCTATTTAAAAGGTCTGCATAAACAGAAATGATTATCCCTCTGCCAATAATAAGGTAGTGTTAGCTCAGTTAGGAAGGACATTGCAGAGAAAAGCAAAGTTAAACTATAACCACAACTATGAGAGATAAAGTCATTAAATAGAGCAGGGTATTTAAGGTTTGTGCAGTTTGGTTAAGCTAGCTAGCTATGTCTGATGTTTAACAAAATCAGTAGAACCGTAGACAGAATAGCACTTACTTCTTCTGTACACATGCTCCAACATAGCAGTCATTGTGATTGGTTAATGGTTTTAACCAATAGAGTTGCTATGCATCTCTTGGATAAATAGAAGTACCAGCATGGACCTCAGGATTCTTTTAGTTTACTCTGCCCAAGTATGTTGTGTGTTTATTTTTAATAAAACATTCTTTTATAGTACTCAGTTCCAGTTTATGATCTGGTTCCCTGACAGAACCCCAATTTGGTTCATATAAATTTCTCAGTCACCTACCATGGAAAAGGCTTTCTGCTTTTTTATTGCAAATTGTGTTTCTTCTAACAATGGAACTTGGTGAAGAGACTCATCCAATGAATTAAATGGAGCTTATCCATTTATGGTGAATCCCTGTAACCAGCCACAATTTTAGGGTGAAAATGGGCTAAACTACCTGGGAAAAGGCCTTATATAAGTTTCTTCCCAAATTTCATGAACATCATGACTCTTGGTAATCTTGTGAATTTTACCCATTAGTTTAGACTCCTATCCTTCTGCAAGATTTTAGGTCCTTGGGTCCCCAAAGGCTTACCTTTCTCCTTTTAGTTCTGTGAGAAAGGGCAGGATGTGCTGAGAGAATGGGGCTTCCCTCTTGGACAAGCTGTTAACCAGATATTTGGACGGCAGAAGAGGCCAGGTGGTACAAAGGAAGCAGCAGGTAACCGAAGGTATCAACTTCAGAAGCCAGACAGCCACAGTGACAACTACCAGATTCCTCTTCTTCAAACAAGAGCTGAAAGAACTAGTTAGCAGATGAAAGCAGTTCTTTGACGAGCCATTACTATTTGCAATTGCTTGTGTGGCTACACTGATGTATCGTAGCACATTATTGTGCAATGTGAAAACACAGGTACCTTTCAACAAGTTTGCAGTCTAAAAACAGTCATAGATAAAGTGGTAAGAAATCAGTAGAAATATGAGAGAAAGGGAGAAGCAAGGGTGAGGCAGGATAAATGCAAATACAATTTTTCTTCCTTTCTGTTGGAGATAGACAAGCATGAAGGTGCTTGAACATGGAGTCATGAAATTCATTGTATAGCACTGAGTTTGTCACTATGCTCAATCTAAACAGCGTTGGATTTTCTCATTCTCTCTCTCCCTCTGTCCACCACATGCACACTCCTCTTGATGTCCTCATGAGTTAAGTGTTTGCACCAGTCATTATTTCTCAGTGTTTGATTCAGAGTTTGTAGGCTTACCTGAGGGCTCTGATTGTCTGGACATGTGACCCTCCAAGGCTCTTTCTTCTTTCTTTCTTTCTTTCTTTCTTTCTTTCTTTCTTTCTTTCGTACACACATCAAGAGTTGCAAGAAGAATAAGTTGTTTGTGATTAGCAAACCATGGCTTGTTAATGTGACTAAGTAAGTTATTTTCTAATAATCAGTGCAGGTTAACAGATTAGCTTTCTGACATAAACTAAGATCTAAATATTAAATCCTCCCACTTTAACAGATTACTGTTCACTCTTCATTCAAAAATAAGGTCAGCCCCATAAACTTCTAAAATGCTGCATAAAGTCTTTGAAAATATGTTTGGAGAATGTTTAAAAAATACTGTTTAATACACAAATTTAATCTTAATTAAGTAATCGCCATCTTTTCAAGTCACTAGATATTTCCATCAATGTGCCACTTATATTTAGTTTAACCCTTTATAAGATTCCTCTAGGCACCAACCCACTAAGATACTTCTTAATCACTTCTGGGCACCAAGGACGTTGCCATTTAGTAACTACTTCAGTTTTCTTGGCACATGCATTAATTCAAATTTTGACCAATTAACAATACTACCCAAAAGTGCATCATAGGTATCAATTCATCTAACTGATTTTAACCTACTGATACATACCATCAAATTACCTACATATAAAATTGCATATTTTATATTCAAATATAATATTGTATATTATATTTTATATTCACTCTGCTCATGCACAAAACTGCAAATATTTCTGTTCTCTCTAATTGCACATGCCCGAAATTTCAAGCACAATTAAATGTCAATGGAGGTAGAGGAGGGCCCTGCTTGTGCCCCACTCCAATGCAAAGAAAATTTTTTGAAAGAATTCCATTTGTCATCAGCTGTGACAGGAAAAAGATATAAAATATGAATCTGTCTTACAGAGTCCTGCAGAAATGGACATGAAAGCTATTCCTGAATTGGCACAGTATAAGCAGGATTCTGATGAGCAGCATGTGATCATTTTGTCTGAGCCGCATACCTTAGCAGCTCAGATCATCAATTTATACACTGCTGAGTGATGGCAGGATGAGATCAGTTATTATAATATTATTATTGTGTCATTGCATTTGTAGCCCATTTTTCTTCATCTTGCAAGGAACCAAAGGCAACACAGAAAGTTCTTCCCTCCATTTTATCCTCACAACAAGGTTAGGCTGAAAGTCAATGACTGGCCCAAATTCATGTAGTGAGCTTTATGGCCATGTGGAGACCAGAACACAGGTTTCCTGAGCCCCCATCCAACACCCTTAGCAACTTTACTTCACCAGCTCTTTATCTTCTAGATTAACCCCCCACCCCATTAGTTATGATCAGAAAAGGGAAATGGCTGGTTTGCAGACAAAGCCAAATTCTTTATTCCGTAAATTCCATAATACTCAGCTTCTCCACCATCTTTTCAACGGTGTGATGTGAAATGGTTTTGCAACCCACTAACATTCTTCTTGTGGCCCCTCTCCAATATGGCAATGGAGCTCCAAGGCTCCTGTTCTTACTAGCTGGTGGGATTGCCACCTGCTGATTCAACTCTCCCAATGGGACAAATGCTACACCAAGGCTCTCCGAAGCAGCCATTCACCCACTGTTTCACTGCGAAGGGATCCTCCAAGCAAACAGAGTGCAGCTACACACCCCATGTTGGTTAGAGGAAGCAGCCAGCTGGGTTCTTCACTGAGTGGGTTAGAGCCAAATGCCTGGCTTTGAGAAAGGCTATTCTTAGAGCCAGGCATTGTGACAGCAGCATTCCAGAAGATTTCTTATACTTCCTGGCTTGCTCGAAATCCTTTTCACTGCATGAAAGCATTATTAGACATCCTGACATGAATTTTTATGCAAAGATAGTTTTAATTGGAATTAGAAAAAAAACCAAGCTTCTGTTTATTAATATTTATCTCACACCTTTACACCATATACACAAAATCAAAACCATCTGGAAAATACTCAATATAGGAATGATAGAACTTTTAGCTTCTTAGTTTGTTAAGAGAAGATTTTAATGCATCAACATTAGCCTCTAATAACTGGCAATGAATACAGAATCTGCTTTCATGAGGCACTCTAAAGACATTTACATACATTACTTTGGAGCTTGCTTGATGCTTCTTTCTGGAAGATTCCTGAGTAGCTTAAATGGCAGTGTACCTTTAGATAAATTGAGAATTTATATTTATCTCCTCCTATTGAAATGATACAATTGACTTTTTATAAGGGTTCAGTCCTGTGAATTATTTGTTGTAAGCCGCCCCGAGGCTTTGGCGAATGGGGCGGCATAAAAATGTTTTAATAAAATAAATAAATAAATAAATAAATTACTGCCTTGATGAATGGAAATCCCTGAACTCAGAGGCTTCCAAACATCCTGTGCAAGGTGAAAGGAGTGGCAGACATGATCTTCTCTTTTTACCATGCATTTTTTTATTTTAATTTTTTTTGCTCTACAGGGTTTTTTGTTCATCCAGCTGGAGAACTTCAGAGAGTAATGAAAGGAGGCTGGCAAAGGTGCAGGTTAACTTGTGTTCTGGCCGTTCCAGTCTCCCGTTCTCCTGCTGAAATCTCTGTTTCCCCCTCTCTGAGGATGATTTTATGACTTCAGAAGGCAACCAGCTAAGTTTTTTCTATTCCAGCTGTGAAGGTGTGTACAAGGGGAAATCCTTAGATTGTTTGGCCCCCAGATGATGCCTGGGAATAGAATTGCTCCCTCTATCTTCCATGTAGTAAGTCACCATTTAAATATTGATATAAAATGTGATATAACTGGATAGTGGTATAAATAAAGTAACTTTCCACTGAACTTTTTAACTGCCAGGGAATGAAATCTTTATTAAGGATATTTTTATTCTCAACCAAAAAATGAAATGGTCCTCAAATTTAGAAGGTAACATCTCAGATTTTTTTTTTAAATTCCCAGGAAGAATTAAATACTCAATTAGAACTCTCCACTGCCAAAAATGGACTAGTAATACTACCTACCCATGAAGATTTTTTCAAATTTCCTTTGGAGAACTTAACAGCAGAACAAGGTTAGTAGACATCAACATTCAATTGAATGCATGTGAAGGTTTGATACAGATTCTGTCTTTCTCAGATATCAGTTACAGACCTGTTATATACATGAAAAAGTTTAACTCCTTTCAGGGTCTTATTGTCTGTTGAAGAATTATGATAGAGTCTTTCTGAAGGATAAGGAGATAAAAGCTGTAAAAGATGTATGGGTTCTACTTTTGAATGCTTTACTTGCTAATTGTAGCCAAAATGTCTGGAGAATTATGTCCAAAGCACTGGGTAGTTATTCAGAAAGTCCAGTAAATCATAGTTCAGCAAAATCCAGGAAATCAATTTTATGCTATAATCATTCATCAAATTCTGGGGTGGATATTAAACTAAAAGATTTTTGATAATTTATCTTCCTTTTTGACAGTTTATATGCCCTTTTCTGTTAAGGAATAGAGCAAATTATTCTGTTAAGAAATGGGAAAGCACCTGTTCCTGGTCCTTGATTGCATTCCCCAGAGATAATCTAATCAATTTTATTTATGTTTATTAGTGTATTGGAGATTATTCCCATTTTTTGGGAAACATTTCCATACTTTAAAGGGAGGTGTGGTCTAATCCATCTAATTATTGACCAATTCATTCATCAGCAGATGTGAGACAAATCTTCAGCCCACCTGTTTAAAATATGCATACTCACACACAAAACTCAAAGTTGAATTTAATATTGTGGCCAGAAAAGAAGTTGGTTTTAGATCTGGTTAGTCTGCCCTTGATCATGGCATGATATTATTGCACTTAGTTGAAAAATATTCTCACAGACCCAGTCAGAAACATTTTGTAGCCTCTATAGACCTTAAAGCAGTATTGATCTCATCCCTAAAAACTTGTTATGGGACGAATTCAAAATACTTCAATAAATAATAGGATACCTTGTTTTGATTAAACAATTTCATTCTGTGATTTCTCTGAAAGTCAAGTGCAGCCAGATGGAATATTAAATGAGACTTTCTTTCCTCAAAGTGTGAGATGACCATATATTAGCATCCTCCTGATTTAATCTATTCATGAATGACCTAGCTCCTTTTCTAAAATCACATACGTGCATGCACTCACTTTGTACTGTTGTATTTTATCTTATACTGTTGTCACACCTCTGGACTGATCTGGTTGTGGTTGCTGTGTGTTTATTGTTGCCATTTTACCCAATGTATTGTTTTTATTTGATTTTATATATTATTGTTTATTATATATTGCTGATTATTGTATTGTGTGTTGTATATCTGGCTGCTGGACAGTATAAAAATGAATAAATGAATGAATACACAGCTTTCATCAATGTTGTATGCAGATGACAGTTTTACTGAAACACTGAGGTGGAGATTATATCATTTGTTGAAGAGTTTACCTGTTTTTGTGAAATTTATCCCCTAAGGATAAATTAGATCAAAGCATAGAAAATTACATGGCTGGGTTCTCAGTGGGAATCCAATTGAACAAGTGTCTCATTATAAATATCTTGGCAGTCATTTTCATCATACTTTAAAATTAAGTCTCCAAATATCTTCCACACTTTAACAACTCACCAACTCTTGGAAGATTTTATTTCTCCAAATTGTGGTTGATTAGTACATAAGACTGGCACCAAGATTATTACCCAGCTTTTACCCAGGGAAGCCATTTGGACACAGGGCATAAAAATGAAGTTGGAAGATTTCTTAGAAAGTTCCTGGGGTCCCTAGAGGTGTAGCTATTTTCTTTGCAGCATTCATTGTTATTTAATGTCTGGTTATCCTGGTAAATTTTTGTAAGTAGTTCAAACAGGAGCGGAAAGGGGAGGGGGAACCTTTGCTGTTGGAGATCTTTTTCTGTTTGAAGCTGAGCTCAAAAGGCACCTTCTCCTGCACACAGGTTGCCTTTATCCATCCATTCTCCAATTGCTTCATGGAACTGTTCATTTCACCGTGCTCAATGGCAAGGCTAACCCTGATCTAGAAAGTGAAGATAGTTGAAAACCACATGGTATATAGCAGTCCTGCAATTGCCTCCAAACATTAAATATTGTTTGCATTAAATATAATGCATGACCAGATTAATTCCCCAAACACAGATGGGAAAACTACTGGCCATTGAATTCCAATTTGGGAAAGGTCTTGGGGCTGCATTTCAACTGTGGGAAGGGTGCTGGCTAGATATAGGAACCGGAGAAGCATGATTTCTCCATGATGCCCTCCTGAAAGGCTTTCTTCAGTGCTCACCAGGGGAACCCCAGCTTCTATCTCCAGTCAAGTGATCCAAGATAAGAGTGAAGAATATCTGCACTATTGGAGGAAGAAGAGGCAGAACCTAAGAACCTAACTTGTTGGCCAGAGGCTCTCCATCTCTTTTATACAGAGTAAACAGTGCTAATAGTGGTGATCTAGTCTCTGAAATTAAGTGTTGATCAAAGATGCACATAGAGTTTCAGATTATGTTCTAGGTAATTATGCTACACATCAGATCATACTGTAAGTAAATGCAGATAATTACTAAATGGATAACAGCTTGAAAATTCTTCTTATGAGATCTCTCATTTCTCTGTTCATACCCTTTTAATCCAAAGGCCAGTATAATTACATTCTCCCATTTCCCACTCCCATTTTATTCTGGTTCAAAAAGGAAATGAAATTAGGCATAAGTTGAATCATAGAAAGCTTATAGCCTTTGCTACCATTTCCTCAAAGACATAACACTGATACACCAATGATAATTACCTTTTGTATTTTGATTGGAAAATGTACTAGGAGGGTGAACTCTTCTTCTTGAAATGTGGAGCGAACAAGTGGGCTGAAAACTTTGTTGTCCCTTTCCTTTGATAAATTAAACCTGTACTCTTGAGTGTCCTGTTCACAGACTGCAAAATGGAAGAGAAGCTCAAATGGTATAGAAAGAAACAATCTTTGCCATGTGAAGGCTATAACCATTAGAGAAATCTGATCACAGCACCAGTTTATAGTCTATAGAAAATTGTGATGCAAGTATAAAATTATAGTTTTAACTTCTGTACAATTAGAACATCATCTCTATACCTCCTATAGAGCTTCTGCTATTCGAAGGTATAGAAATAAATAATGTTGCTATTTATTTTCTTTCAGGCAATATCTCAGAAGCCCATGGTGAAAGGAACTTGGATATTCTGGTTGTCTGACAGCAAAAACCATGGAAGGAATATTTTGTACAAATCTGTTATTATCACCTTTGGATCTCATGCAAATAAGCTTCAGACAGCAACAAAACATAGACAGATTCAGGAGCAGAACTTGACAAGAAGCTGAGGTCCAGAGCAGTATCTTTAGAAGAGCAACATAACAAATCAGTGATGACTTAGATTTTATACCCCATAATTTGAACACTTCCAAAAGTAGATGCCAAGCATTATTTGGGAACTGGCTCATGTACAGACTACATCTTGCTCTGTATTTACCCATCATTAAATAAGTATTAACTCCAAGAAATATGTGACTCCACCCTATTGTAATATTTGGCCATGAATTTTGCTTTTTTTGGTATCTGGCTGCTTGAATTGCAGCAGATCTCAGTCACTCAGCAAGCAAAGCAGTCTTTAAACCTCCAGAACAGAAATGGAACTTTTGCTGTAGCTACCTGACCTGTGGTGTCCATGGCCTATTAGCTTCCAGGGATGTCAGGGATGTGGTGTCTAGACCATTGTAGAATACTATGTGTTATACCTATAGAACATTTTAAATATTGTATCTTATGCTAAATTTCTTTCAGTGTGTTACATTTGTCAGCATGTGTTCCTAAGTGCAATATTAGTGATAAATCTTCCTAGAGATTGCACTTTTTACTAAGATGAACCAAAATGTCTCTGAAAAAATGAGTGTGTAGCTCCAACAATGAGGAATCAGTGCAAGAAGGGTGGATTGGAGGATTTTTTGAAAGTGGTACAATTGTTCCATTCTTTCCCTTTGAAATATTTCTATATGTTGTATATTCGCTCATAAATGCTCCTAAAGCTTGACATGTGCAGCTTTAGTGAAGGTAATGCTATATTATATGGAAATTAGCAGAATCTGCCCAATAATGAGAAAGATGCCACTGTCTGGAAGCAATCTCATTGCATTCTATGTGCGTGAAAAAGGAAGAAGAATAGCCCATCTCACACCCATAGTCACTACCATGAATTAACACATCTGGTCCAATTGATTCTATTAAATAAGCCACAGCCTTCAGTTTAGAACAGCTGAGCAGGAATGTCTTTAGGGCTCTTTCATTAATAGGGCCAATGTAAGTTGGAGAGAACTTGATGGTACATAGCAACAACACAGCAACAACTTAACCAACAAGGAATGTCTTGAATGTCTTCTTTTACCACCCTTAATCATTAGCCTGACTGAAAATACTGAAAGGTGATTAAAGAGGAACCAAGCCTCACAAAATATTCTGAAGAGCCTTCAGGAGATCTACAGTAGTGAGTCTTCTGTTGATGAGGGCACACAGTCCTGGTATTCATCCAAAAGTAGTTGATCACTACTCAGGTGCATGTTAATCAATACATCATATTTGAAAATGTGGGCTTGTGTCACACTGTATTTAGTTGCAGGAGAAGTTGGCTTTGTTTTATGTTTGTTGTTCGTTTTAGCTCAGTTAGGTATGGAACGCACAAAAGACTAGAGATGTTTTAAAAAGGAGAAAAAATATAATATGTAACAATTCCTCTGGCCCTTTCACCAAAAAACAAATCAAAACCATGGAGAAGGAGGGCTGCTGCTCCTTTTTCCTGTCCTCCTAACCCCACTGAGTAAAGCCAGTGGGTCCAGCACCCCATTCCCCTCCACCCCAAAAGACAGCAAGACCTCCTGTTTGGACTTTTCCATGAATTAGCTCCATTGAAATCAGTGTGATTTAGCTGTAAGACCAATGACAATAGTGTGATTTACATCCAAGTAAACATGCATTTCAGCTAGATTTTTCTTGAAGAGGACAAAGAAGGCAATCTGGAAAGCTTCAATAGACATTGAAAAATTCATTTTTTTTCAGACAGGGGGCAGCATTTGCCAGAAAAGGGCGGGGAGATGAAGAAGGCAGGAAGGCAACAGAAGAATCTCTGAATTTTGTTGAAATCCCAAGGGCACTCTTCTACTTTCCTCCACAGCCTACGGACACAAACACATTTGGAGAAAGCCACAGTGTATAAAAAGGCCATGGTAAAGGTCCAACTAAATCCAGGATATAGTGGTAGAAGCAGTGTAAGAAGGACAGGTTAGGGTGTACATCATGTGATATGCCTGTGAGTCATGCATTGCAATAGCAATAGATATTCCACATTCCTTGTTGATGTTCCCGGGAATAAAACAGAAGATATACTAAGGCTGCAATGAAAGGAAGTCCCATTACTTTCAAAAGGACAATTGTTCTGTGCAGATATGCTTGGTTAGGGATTTGTTTCCACCTAAATTTGCATAGGCTTAGTCCTTAACCCAGTCATCCCTAACCTTGTGCTCATGAGATACTTTGCACTGCAATGCCAAATATCTCTGACTTTTGGCCACTGGCTAGTGCTGATGGAGCTGAAATTTAAAAGATCTAGGGAATGCCAGGTGGGGAAATCCTGGTCCAACCGATCTATGAGCTTGTGGAATGCACACACACATACATGCACATACACACACATTTGACTGAGTCAGCTCTCACTTGGTTGCTTCTATTTCCCTTAATGGTCATTGCCCTGGTTATTTTAGCAGCTCTGTGAGAACTGAAAACTGTTCCTCCTGTGACTTTTTTTCCCTTTTGTATCATGCCCAAGAAGTCGCATGACATTATATAAATTCTAAATTACCTTGAATACATCGGCAGAGAGCATAAATGTATAGTAGGTAAATGCCATATTCTGAGCTGGCTTGAGCCAGCCCCCAGAGGTACTCTATTCTACAAAATGTATGCTGGTTTAAAATTACATTATTTGTGCATGGTGTGTGTCCTTTTAAAAATCATGTTGCAGATACGCACCATTGTGATTTATTTGTCAGGATATAGAATGGCCACATATTATTTACTCACAGATTAGAGTTTCTAACATGCTCTAATTTCAACATTAATTGCATGGACAAAGTTCAGAACATCTTGTTTGTATAGCCCCTAAGGTGCTAACCCATCCTGTGACATAAAATTGCAAAATGCATTCTCTTCTCATTATTTCTTGAAAGATTCTGTTCAGATAATTAGAAACTGAAAAAACAGCCAGTGAAGAAATCAATTCTAAAATAATGATCCTTCAGTTTCCTGTCATGGATGGTACAGTTTTAGAACATTCAGAGAAAGTAAATAATAACCATAGCCTTAAATTATGACATAAATACATTTATTCTAGTCCACAGACAAAATAATAGAAAAGGCTATGTTTTTCACAGTTAGATCAGTAGTAATACGAATAAAACTGACCACTTATTGACAAGAACAAAGTCCAAGTCAGCCTTTGTTTAACTAATGCCCTCACCTGCCCAGGAAACATAAAGAAAGATGGCCAAAAAGATTCCTCTTTTCTTCTTTGGTGGACCTGGAAGTTTTGGCAGAAAGTGTCTTAATGCAGAATGTTATAACACCTGCACAAGGAACAGTGTGTGATGCAGTTCCTGCCCTACCACCAGGATGGTTTTCCATGGCTTTTAAGTGGATAGAGCATCTATAATTAAAATGCTGACATTGCTGGCAGGCAAGCCCAAATGCTGGCAGGCAAGCCCAAAGATCCTGTAAACGTGTGGGCTAGTATTCTCTAATAGTGTGGGGTGGTCTCTATTTGCAGCAGACATGTTTTCCACATTTTTGGTCCATTAGCAAAAAGAGGCATGGAGAGCTAAACCCTGTCCAACTTGTCTACATTTTGCAAACATTCCTGCTAGATGCTCAAATTGCCATCCTGACTTTCAGTGGTTTGGCAGACATGCTTGCAGATGGATTTGGGTGTCCCCTTCCTATGACAGTTTAATCCCTGTGCAAGATGAGGAAGAAAACCAATGGCCCCAAGATCTTTATTTCTGAGAAAGGAAAATTGGTAATGCGGGCAGCCCTGGACAGTCCTGGGGAGACTCACTCCACTGATGAGGAAGCACGGCCCCAGTATTTATGCAAAATGTATCTATAACTATTGGGGCAAATCATAGTTTCCACTGTGTGGAAAACATGAACCTGTGTTACACACAGAAGGAGGAAATGAAAAAGAGATAGATGCAGGATTTAAAAAAAATCCTTTAGCTATGCAGAAGTGCAAGAAAATGGAGACTTAAAAGGAGGGAGAAAGGCAGCTCCTTCTGTCTCCCACCAAAAAATCATGGAGAAGGAGAAGGTGAGAGGTGAGGAAGAGATCTTGGTGCATCATTCCACCTTTCATGCAGGGCAGGCAGCAGAACCAGCAACAGCATTGCTTTCCCTCTGAAAGCACAGCGCATCTCCTAAGTAAGTACCACTGAAGTTAATGTAATTTATTTCTGAGAAGACATGCATTTCAGCTAATGTTTGTTTGATTGCTTTAGCAGGAGGACAAAGGGCACAATTGAGAAGGCTTGCTAAGCCACTGCATGCTTTATTTTTTCAAAGACAATGGGGAATTACTGGTAAGTTGCAGACGGGGGTGCACAGGAGGCAGGAACACACAGAAACCAGTCCTCTCCTCCTGCAGAATAGTACCACAAATTTAGCATACACTGAAATGCATTCCATGGGAAACACAACTTAAAAAAATTCATGATATAACTAGGCTGCAGTTAAAGGGTACAATGGAAGAAATAAGCTAAGGATGTTTGGGATGAGCACCATCTGAAGACCATCTGACATGCAAAGGAATCAAGCTTTACAATACCAGCAAAAATGCTAACTATACATGCCGCCCACCCACATCTCCTTGTTATCTGTTACAATACATTCCGTCCTTTCTAGAAGGGAATGATTACACTGTCAAAGGAGGGCAAAGGCTAGGGTCATGTGCAAATCTCACTCTGAGTATGACTGAACTTAGTCTCGACCTAACCACAGATGACAAAGATTGCACATTTAGAAACCCATTCCCGTGAGAATATCACTGGCACCCTCGTTCATCTTCTATTTTTAATATTATGGAAGCCAACCGCCCCCCCGCCCCATTCATAAGTTACCATCTATGTGTTCTCACTTCTGCCACTTTTCTTCCAGTCCATTGGAAATGAGCCAGGCTGGAGAGGAAAATAGCAAATGAGAGCCAGTGTGCTTAAGAGTGCTGGACTGGGACTCAGGAGCTAACTGGGTGACTTTCAGCCCAGCCTACCTCACAGGGGTGTTGTTGAGGAGATAAGATTGAGAGCAGGAAGAGGAGACTCATGCAAGCTGCTTTGAGTACTTTAAGAATGGAGGGGAGTGGGGATAGGAATCTGATAAC